GGTGGGGGGACATCCCAAGAGCAGACAGGGCAGCATGTGGGAAAGAGCAGGGAGGGGATGATGGACTAGACGTGTGCCCTTGTCCACATGTGCTGACGAGGTACCCATGGTGATAGGCCGGGCAACCAGAGTGACCATGCTGTGCCAACTGCAACTGTGTCCCCTGTGTCCGGCGGCCTCTCTGGAAGACACTGGCTGTCCTCTGGGTTCCCTCTTCTCCCGGCAATAGATCTCGGTCATATGTGTGTCCAGGAAAGAAAAATGCCACTGAGGGCTGAGCGCCTATGCTGAACACTCCAACAGTCTTGCCTGGTGTTTGGGGACCAGATTTTGACACACTTGAGGCTGCCGCAGCCTCAGGGATGGAAAACGGGGAAGAATCGGCACAGACACCTCTGAAAAATCCTGTGACAGGGCTTCTGGAAGCTGTGGAGCAGGCCATGTGATTCCATCCTGTAGATGCTGTGTCGTGGGGCAGATGTCAGCCAGGGCCAGCCAGGGCCATCTGTCACATGTCCTTATTACTTAAGGGGGACTCTGGTTTTGATGAAGTTGCTTTACCTTCTTACTGCTTTCAACCCCATTGGGTCTACCTTCTGCTTCGTGGCCAGCTGCTCAGATCTGTGGCACTTTCTTCACTTTGACCTAGGCCCTGCTGATTCCTGCCTGTGAGGCCACCCCGTTTTCCCGTCCTCCAGCCTCCCACAGCCCCCGCCTAAGGTTCTCATGCCTGGGTCCTGCCTCGGTTCCGATCAGGCCCTGCAGGCCCTTCCTTCCCCCTGGGCAGAGCCCCCTGGGATGGGGTGGTAGGGGCTCTGAATGTTGACTTATATGGCAACAAAGGACTTCGCAGATGTGAGTAGGTGAAGGGTGGTGAGCTGGGGGCACTACCTTAAATTGTCTGGGAGGACTGTAATGCAGTCACATGTATGAGTTCATGGAAAACTTCAAAAAGTTCATGGAAAGACTTGTATTTTAATTCTTTCACAGACTTTCTGAATTGCCCTGGTGTATTTTTATAGGAGGGAGGCAGAGGGAGAATTAACACAGAAGAGGTGGCCACATGACCACGGAGGCAGACTGGAATGCTGCAGCCACAAGCCCAGGAACACCATGGCTGGCACCACCAGCAGCTGGGAGACACGAGAAAGGACCACCCCCCTCCCCCACCACCACCCCGGAGCTGCTGATTGAGTGCGCCCTGTGGCACCTTGATTTGGGGAATCTGGCCTCTAGAACTGTGGAAGGATCCATTTCTATTGTTTTAAGCCACCAAATTTGTGGTCATTTGTTACAGCAGCCTCAGGAAATGAATACGAATGGGAAAGTCAAGGATTCCAGAAAGAAATGTGCGGACCCAAGGCCTGGCATAGCCCTTAGCAGCTGCCCTGTCCTCAGGACCCGGCCACTCGGGGTTCCCTGGGCCTGAACATATAGCCTCTCCTCCACCTGGGGTGGGATGGGAGAGCCACACCTGCTAAGGACATGGGTGCCTTTGGCCCGGTTATTATTAGTTGTTTAAAACCAAGGACAAACATGATTATCAGGTGCTATTTTTACAGCAGCAACAAACCTGTGCCTGTGGGAAAAAACGTGCCAGCACCCACCTGCGTGGGAAAGCCACACTGGCAGCACCTTTGTCTTGTGCGCTTAGGTGTTGGGGACGCACGTGCTCTGGAAGGTCACAGCTGCCTGAGCCTTTAAAACCCTGGCAGGATGCACATTCCTGTGTGGAGACTCTGAGCCCAGCAGCACCGCAAGGGCCTCAGCTGCGTTTCTTCAGAGACCACCCTTCACAACTAAGCAGCACAAGGAGAAATTGTTATCAAAGAGTATTCCGGACTCTTGGCAAGATTCCCATCATCTACATAGACATCACCAGGTGAGCGCCAGGCCCGGAGGTCCCTCAGAGCCCCTCCAGGTGACCAGCCGGTCCCAGAGCAGGGAGGACGGCTATGTCCCACCAACAGGGCACAGGTCTCCTCAGGCATATAGGCCTGGCTGCCTCTGGCTGGTATCTCTCACACAAGTGAGGACATGGGGGTCCTCTACTTGGCACTGAGTGTCTGGCTCTGAATACTGTGGCGGGAGGGTTTCGAGGGTGTGACAGTGTATTTATATACTGGTTTTCGTCCACGGTTCCCGGGTCATGCTACTCTCTGACCTTCTGCGCTCCTTTCCCCTGCTCCTCCTCCTTGAGGCAGGGAATTCTCTGACCTACTTTGGCTGATTGTAGGTCACAAGACCCCCATTTCAGGAGGGTCCCTGCCCCATGCTCAGGTGGACGGAATGCTGCACAGAGAGGCCGAGAAGAACCTGAGCAGACAGGCCTTGCTGGGTTTCCTCACGCAGGCTGTTGGTGTTAGATCAGACCCTTTCTGTCCTGTCACATTTCTACATGGTTGTCCTCACTTCAGTCATGCCTATGTCATGAAGCTTCCTGGAGGGCGGCGCCCCAGAGAGAGTGTGGAAGCTCCGTGCCCCTTCCCCATACCTCACCCCAGGAGTCTCTTCATCTGTGTCCTTAGTAATATCCTTTATAATACACTGGTAAGCATCTTTCCCTGAGTTCTGTGAGCCCTCCTAGCAAACTGAACCCAAAGGGAGTTGTGGGAACCCCAATTTATAGCCAGTTGGTCAGAAGCACAGGTAAAACCACCTGGGGCTTGCGACTGGCATTAGAAGCGATGGGGGTTGGGGGCAGTCTTGGGGCCTGAGTCCTCAGCCTGTGGGATCTGACACTATCTCCAGGCAGACAGTGTTGGAATTGAATTGGAGGACACGCAACTGGTGTCCGTGGCAGAACTGCTGGCTTTGTTGCTGGAGAGAAAGACCCACATGTTGGTCACAAAGTCAGAAGTCTGCTGCGTTGGTGGTTGCTGCTGATGAGAACAGAGGAAAAGGTAGTTTCAGTTCTTCCCGTTGATCAGCTGGTTTCCCCAAGTTCCAGCACAGCCCATGAAGACAGCTCATCTGCCCAGCTGGTCTCTGGGGGGCTACGGTAAGGGTGACAGGGCGCTGCTGTCTTGCTCCATGTCCCTGTGACTCTCACCCCCAGGATGAGGGCCTTGAGGCTGATGGGGGTGCTGCTCACCCTGGCCAGGCTGCTGCAGGTGGCCTTGGGCCTGAGCATCGCAGCCTTCAACATCCAGACTTTTGGGGTGACGAAGATGTCCAATGCCACCCTCTCCAACTACATTGTGCAGGTAAGTCCAGGGTGGCCTATCCCGGAGGGAAGAGGAAGCCTGGGGGTGGGCATTGAGTGCCTCTGGTCTCAGCCCTCATCCATCAGGGCCAGCCCGGTTCTCTTCACTGCCACGTGGGCAGCAGGAATCCAAGCAGGAGCACAGGCTGAGGCATAACTGTGCCGGCAGCACCCACCGTCTGGCCAGGTCCTGGGAAACTTGGCCCTGTTCAGTTCTACTGTGGTCCCACCCCCAGATTCTGAGCCACTACGACATCGCCCTTGTCCAAGAGGTCAGAGACAGCCAGCTGATAGCTGTGGGGAAGCTGCTGGACGAACTGAATCAGTGCGTGTGCAGGGCCCTGGGGATAGTGCCATGGGTGGAGCCTGTTGTCAGCAGCCAGAGGGGCCCCTCTGTGAGCCCCTGACCCGGACCTTTTGTTTCCTCTGCCCAGGGCTGCACCAAACACCTATCACTATGTGGTCAGTGAGCCACTGGGCCGCAACAGCTACAAGGAGCGCTACCTCTTTGTGTACAGGTAAAGCCTGGGCTGACCTGGCCATGACCGCAGGGCCCCAGCCACAGGAGAGAGGCCTGTGTCTGCACCTCCAGTGGCACCAGAAGGCTGGGGTGGTCTAGAGTACCCAGTTAGTCCCTCCCTCACCCAGGAGGACGCCAGCAGAGCAGAGGTAGCAATTTGTCCTACAGGGCAAGAATCCAAAGCCTCAGAGCAGGGTCTGGGTTGAAGACAAACCACCCCAAGGGGTGACCAGGGTGGCTGGCCCCAGGTCTTTCCCACAGCCTGTGGAAAGGCAGGAGATCATAGGTGGGCTGGGGCCCGAGGGCGGTGGGTCCCATGGTGCCCGAGCACAGACCCACCCCTCCTGCTGCCCAGCCAGCAAGGGGAGCCAGGTGGGGGCAGCTCCCCAGCCCAGGTTCACCACCTCCGGTTGGCTCCCCCAGGCCTGACCAGGTGTCCGTGCTGGACAGCTACTACTACGATGACGGCTGTGAGCCCTGTGGGAATGACACCTTCAGCCGAGAACCGGCCGTGGTCAAGTTCTCCTCCCCGTTCACGCGTGAGTGCTGCTGCCTGCCTGGGCCCACGTGGCGGTGCTGTCCCCTGCCGCCAGGGCTTTGGTTTCCATTCAAATTGCTTAGGAAAATGCCCTTCGTCCCTGCCTGATGGCACAGCTGGGCCTGGGTTGTCCCCAACACACACACAGAAGGGCTGTGTCTCCTTAGAGGTCAGCGAGTTTGCCATAGTGCCCCTGCATGCGGCCCCCTCTGACGCGGTGGCTGAGATCGATGCTCTCTATGATGTCTACCTGGACGTCCAGCAGAAGTGGGACATGGAGGTGAGGCCCTCCCAGGGACAGTGGGTTCCCACAGCCCCATCAGTTCCTGGGCCAACAGGCATGGGTCTCCTGGCAGGACGTCATACTGATGGGTGACTTCAATGCTGGCTGCAGTTACGTGACCTCCTCCCAGTGGTCCTCCATCCGCCTGCGCACCAACCCCGCCTTCCAGTGGCTGATTCCCGACACCGCTGACACCACAGTTTCGTCCACACACTGTGCCTATGACAGGTGAGCAAGCCTGAGTGCCCAGGCTCAGGGTGATGTGGGGGGTGCCTCCAGCACAGCCTTGAGGTGTAGCTCCAGCTTCAGAACCCATCGCCAAGACCTCCCTACCCCTCGTCCTCCTGGGCTGTAGTCAATCCACTTGGGAAATGGAATAAAAAGAGCATGTGTCTTAGAGTTTGGGAAAAGCCCCTTTAGTGATAAAAGGTGTGGCAGCACCGTGGCTTCTCCAGTGGTGGTAGTTGTTCTCTCCTGAAGGGCTGTAGGCATGCAGGTCCGTGGTGAGGTCTGGGGGTGCTGGGCAGCTTCAGGGGCTGCAGGGCCAGGACAGAGGGAATCTCTCTCTTGTCCCCACACACTGCAGGATTGTCGTTGCTGGAGCTCTGCTGCAAGGTGCTGTTGTCACTGACTCGGCCACTCCCTTCAACTTCCAGGCTGCGTATGGACTGAGTGACCAAATGGTGTGTGTCCTTCCTTTACAGGTGTTGGTTCAAACAGGGGACCAGGACCCTGGAGCTTAGTGAGATCTGGGCCCCTGGGCTTTTGAACAGGCCACAGCCTGGACGTCCCGCAGCCTAGGTTCAAGGCCTGACACTGCCAGCCTCAGGGATTTACCTGTGTTGGCCTCCCCACACCCTTCCCTCCCTCAGGCTGCTTCTACCGCGGCCCTGCGCTTGCTCACATTTCCCTGCAGGCCCGAGCCATCAGTGACCACTACCCGGTGGAGGTGATGCTGCAGAGGGCCTGACGCAAACAGCACAGTGACCTTGCCCCATGGTAGGTGCTATCACAGGGGCCTGTACAAATGTGGCTCCAAGCACAGGGCCCGTGCCCCCTCCTCACCCAACCACCAGGGCAGGTAGAGCTTCAGGAAGAGACCTGAAAACAGCTACTTCGTGTGACCCTCACTGCCAGCAGCTGCACAGTGCCAGCGTGGGTTGTGTCACGCAGCACCCTCCCTTCTCAGAGCCTGGACAAAAGGCCTAACATATAGCTTTAAGAAGTCCCTTTTAATTCAGGTAAATAAAGCTCAGGCAGGTGGTCTTCAACTCTGGGGTCCAGTTCTTGCTCCCTGCCATCAGCGCCTCTCCAGGGCCTTAGCGAGCAGGTCATTCAGGCGGCCCACCATCTGCCTGGGGTCGTCCACGAGGCCAGCCGCTATCATGGCGTTCTCATAGATCTGAAGGGTATGGGTAGAAACTGTTAGCAAAACGCAGAGGGAAGGAGAGAGAGCTTCTCCTTTAAACATAGGATGTTAGAGGAAATGGGCTGCTCATCTCGCTCACCTGGTCAGCCAGTAGCTGGGCCAGGTCGGGCTCACTCTTCCTCAGCTTATCGAGCTTCTTGATCAGCGTGTGCCTGCAACACAGAAACAGCCAGAAAAGTCAGCTTGGGCCTAGGTGCCACCACCCAGCACGGGGGCCTCCACCTTCCAGTCACCACTCAGACACTGGGATTAGTAGAACATCTTAAGTGCAATAGGTCTGTCCAGTATTAAATAAGATATAAAAATGAGATGTAAATGATCATTTACAGATAATGTGATTATAAGAAGGTACTTCAAAAAGTTCATGGAAAAATAGAATTGAAAGATGACACGAAGGGCCGAGCCCATGGTGCACTCGGGAGAGTGCAGTGCTGGGAGCGCAGCAGTGCTCCCGCCGCAGGTTCGGATCCTATATAGGGATGACCGGTGCGCTCACAGCGCTCACTGGCTGAGTGCGGTGCGGCCGGTCTCAAAAAGGACAAAAAAAAAAGAAAGATGACACGAATCTTTCCATGAACTTAAGACCCCTTGTATACCAGAAAACCCAAGAGAATCAGTTAAGAGTTTCAATATTCTGGCACCTGCCAGCTGCCAAAAAAAAATGTTTCAATATTAGAGAATGCAACAAGGTGGCCAAGAACCCAAATTAAACACCATAAAGAGACAAAAAAGAGCTTAATATATGAAGACTTGTGCTGGTTCTTGGATAACAGATCATAAATAAAAGTAAAATGTTCCCAAATTAATCCATAAATTTCATATGGTTCCTTTATATATTATATTAAAATTTTTCTTTTGTACCTAAACAATCTAATATGAAACTCATACCAAAAAATAAACATAGAATAGCCAAGAAAAGAGGGGGAAGAAGTCCCAGATGTTGAAACATATTATAAAGCTCTGGAATTAAGACAGTTCAGTTCTGGGAAGTGAGAAGCCAAACAGCTCAGCACAACATGGTGAAAAACACATTAACAGGCCCCAATACAAATGGAAATTTAGTATCAGACAAGGACAGCATTTCACAGAAGAATGAGAAGACAGATTTCTCACTCAACAGTATTAGGATAACTGGTCAGCCATCCAGAAAACAAACTGGAATCCTACCTTATTCCTTAGACTAAAATAAATTCCAGTGGGATCAAACATTAAATGTAAAAATTAAAAGCATAATACTAGAAGAAAACATGAAAGAAATGTTTTATAATCTGAAAGGGGAAAGCCTTTCCAAGCAAAATACAAACCCAGAAGCCAAAAAGAAAAGAATGATAAATTTAGCTACATAAAAATTATTTTCTGGGGTTGGCTGGTTAGCTCAGTTGGTTAGAGCAGGGTATGGATAACACCAAGGTCCGAGGTTCAATCTCTGTTACCGGCCTGCTGCCAAAAAAAAAATATTTTCTGCATAGGAAAAAATATACAGTGTTCAACCTCACTCATAAGAAAACTAAGGGGAAGAACTCACTTGCTAAATAAAAGGCTTGTGGGAAAGCTAAGTGGTTAAGCCTTCTCGGTAAAGGCAAAGACAGGCAATCAGAACAGACACACGTGTGTGTGGACACCTGACACTAGACAATACAGAAGGCAACAAGGATCACTTGGGGGAGAATCTATTTATACAATAACGGGGTGGGGACAATTGGGTTTTCTTAAGTGTAATTGGGTTTTCTTGCACCTCCCCCCATAGAACTAAATACAGATGGATTAAAACCAACATGAAAGCCCAAAACCATATAGGTTTTAGAAAGAAATGCAAGAGAATAAATTCATGACATCGGTGACAGAGAAAGATTTCTTAAACAAGACCCAAAATGCATCTAACAGATTGATAGATTTGATTATATTAAAATTAGGAACTTCTACTCATTAAAAGAGGCCTTAGGGCAGGAGAAAGGACAGAGTAGGAAAAGACATTTGCAACTGATAAAGGACATGTGAAGAACTATGAATCAATAGAAAATCCAGCAGGAAAAGAGACATGTCTGCCAGAGAGCCAAGCCCGAGGCCAGTACACGTATGAAAATGGACTCAGCCTTGTCAGCCATCAAGAACCTGGGGGTTCTCAGATCTGCTGGGAGGCGGGGAAGGGCAACATCCTCACTCTGGAAGCAGCCAGCACTGCCTGGGCCCGTGAGGATGTACAGCAGTGTCACTGATGGTTTACACCTTGGAGAAACCCACCGTGCACCAGACATGTGGACAAGAACCTTGTTCTTAGTAGCTCCAAACTGCAAACTACCCACTGCCAGTCAGAACAGACGGCTGAATGAACTGTGCTAAGGGCAGTGGCACAATGAATACCATTCAGCTACGAAAACAAACACACCACAGCCACCCTGCTGTGGATTCAATGTTCCCCCCCAAAAACTCACATTGAAGCTTGATCCCCAGTGTGGCAGTGTTGAGAGGTGGGGCATTTAGGAGGTGACTGGATCACGTATTAATGGCTTAAAGGGTTATCGTGAGAGTGGAACTGGTGGCTTTATAAGAGGGAGACCTGAGCAAGCACGCTCCTGCCCCCTTGCCATGTGACACCCTGAGCCACCTTGGAACTGCAGAGTCCCCACCAGGAAGAAGGCCCTCACCAGATGTGCCCCTTCAACCTTGGGCTTCTCAACCTCCAGAATAGTAAGAAATAAATGTCTTTTATTTATAAATCACCCAGTTTCAGGTATTCTGTTACAGGCAACAGAAAACAGGCTAAGACAAGTCCTCAGCACAGATGGTCTCTCACTTGCCAAGTGAAAAACGTGCCAGTGCAAAAAGAACACATGCCATATAACATCATATAACATCCAAAACAGGACTTGTTTAAGGCTAGCACACAGCCAGCAAAACCATACAGCAGAGTGCGGGGGGTGATCAATCACCATAAGTTGGGTCTGCGGCTAACCTCTGAGGACAGAATACTAGTGGGGAAATGTGGGGAGACTCGGGGAGGTGTCTGGCGGCCAGCAAGGTTGAGTTTTAATAAACTTCACATGGGTACAGTTTAAAGTTAAACCTCATAAATGTTAATTCCATGGGGGTTCTCTTCATTAATCCTAATCCCACTGTACGTAAGCTAAAAGCACTTTCCTCAGGTGTTATATTCCTCAGTGAAGGAAGAACACCTCTCGCACACAACTTTTGAGACCCCTGGCAGGTCGGAGCAGGAACCGTCCAGCACCCAGGCCTCACCGGGGGTTGATCTCCAGTGTGGGCTGCAGGAGCTGTGCACGCTCCTCCTGGGTCCGGGCCAGCTGCTGCATGCGCAGGAAATGCCGGGCGGCCCCCATCTCCAGCACGGTGACCATGGCAGGGTGGGTGTCCAGTCGAAGAGTCACCTGCAAGCAGCCGGGGCCTGGGGTGAGAGGGGCACGAGATGGGAGGGGCCTGAACTGCTGCCCCACAAGAAATTGCTGAAGCCTGGGTGGGACTCCATCCTCCTCCCCAAAGCCACCAGTTTCTACTGTCTCAACCAGCTGTGAAGGTCTACCTTGTCTGGCGCTGTTTTCATCTGGTCCTCCACAGGTCCCTGCCAAGTCTACACTCAGATCCCCAGTGCTGGCCACAGGGCCTGCCTCAAGGCAGGTCTCTCTCTGAATGCCTGAGCCCTGTGCAGCCTTCACTCTCCCCACTGCATAGGGACTTCTCCACCTTCATGTATCACCAAATCTGCCTTTTCTCGCAGAGCGTCCAGCTCCTAGGAGCTGCTGCCTTCCCCTCCGCCCACCCGCGGGCTCGGGCCTACCGACCCAAGGCCAGAGAATCTGCCTGCCCAGCTGCGATCACTATATCCCAGGTTCCCCGCGCCCAGCTCTGGTTCGAGTCCAGGGCTCCATGGTCAGGCTGTGTGACCCTGGGAAGTTCCTGTGCCTTGTTTCCTCACCACAGACTGGCCCGTAGGTGACCTGGGGCCTCAGGAGTTAGCATTTGCAAAGCAGGGACAGGGCACCGCTGTGGAAGGACATTCCGACCTGGAAACCTGTCTGCCTGGCTTGCCTCTGGCTGCTACCCACTCGGGACTCCTCCTCATGTGCCCTCTGCTGTCTCCGGGCCCTGTCTGAGCCCACCCTCCTCTGGGCTTGGCCGCCCACCCTGCACACCTGCCTCTCCCTTGGGGCCACTCCTGGACATGTCCCTGAGCCAGCAACCCTGCACAGGTCACCCTTCTCTGCTGGCATGTCTTTTTTTCCCAGCTCAGAGCCCGCCGAGAACCTCCCACCAAGAACCCATGTGAGAGGGTAAGCTCTGTGAGGCTGGGGGCACATCTCTTCTTTGGATCCCCCATGTCTTCAGCCACTGCAGCCCCTACAGAGTCTGGACCAGGATGGCCCCAGGACAGCCCGCTGGGGATCCTTCTCTGCTTCTATCAACTAGCCAGGCCCTCAACTGCTGAGGCTGTTCCTACCTGCTCTGCAACATGGGGATATGGGGACGAGACCTGTCTTTCCCACCTCAGCAGCACTACTAGGCAACCCGTGACTGCACACGTGTGCAGGAACAGGGACACATGGCCACACACGGTTGCAGGAGCAGACACCCGCATAGTCTCTACCTCCTCTACCGCTGCTCGACTGATGTGCACCAGGTCAGTAACCCAGGGCTGGCAAGTTGGCAGCTGGTTGGTAGCACTGATGGCCATGGTGGCCGATGAAGGTCTCACCTTCACGTTGGCAACGCGTGACCCCAGGGCATTTCTCATCCAGGCCATCAGCTCCTCTGTCTCCTTCTCAGACAGGCACTCGCCGGCTACAGGAGAGCAGATGTGAGCGACTCAGGGGCTTCTCCACAGCCCCAGCTCCAGGGGCCGAAAAAGTCAGCCTAGTGGCTCTCTCCGCCCCTCCCACCTGCCAGGACAGACACAGAAGCCACCAAAATGCCTTTCGTCTAAAATTAACACCTTAGGGGCCAAGCCCGTGGCGCACTTAGGAGAGTGCGGCGCTGGGAGCGCAGCAGCACTCCCACCGCGGGTTCGGATCCTATATAGGGATGACCGGTGCGCTCACAGCACTCACTGGCTGAGCGTGGTGTGTCCGGTCTCAAAAAGGACAAAAAATAAATTAAATTAAATTAAATTAAATTAACACCTTAGGAGGACGCGCTGGGTTGCCTGAGGCCCATGCAATTTGGTTAGGGCTTTTATTTTTACATATTTTTTCTGGTGGCTGGCTGGTCTGGGGATCCAAACCCGTGTGCTCTAACCAACTGAGCTAAACGAACGGCCCCCAAGTTAGGGCTTTTTAAAAAAAAGACAATTGCGACTCTGGTAGGCAGCCTGGTCAACTGCAGAAGTGTGCTGTGGAAGGAGCACTAGAGAGACCTCTGGGATCGAAACAGGGAGACATTTTGCATTAACCATTAAGATGTTCTCAACAGCTTCTTCCACAGCTGGTGACCCCAGATCCAAGTGAGAAAGAACCCCATGTAAAGCCACTGCTGCAGCACAGGAGAGGGCCTGTGGCAAGTGAGCGTCAGCCCCTGGCCCCGCCTGGCTTCAACTGCACCCCAGGCCAGGCTGCCACAGACTGGCCCTGTGCCCTGGAGAGCAGGAAGGGAGCCGACCTGGGGACCCATCCTCAAACTTCTCCTCCTTGTAGTGATCAACGACGATGTCCGTCTCCACAGAGATCAGCTTCTTCTTGTCAAATTCACGAAGGTGCAGCAGGGTCAGCTCATCAAACTGCTCATAGCAGAACAGAACCTGTGGGTATCCCAGGAGGTCTCCATCAGCTCAGGGACGTCTCCATCCACGAAGGATAGGACATAGGAGATGACAGGGCTACAGGAGCCACACGGTGACTCATGGGAGACACCAGGGTTCCTGGACCTTACTGATATGGTTAGCTCATCAGATGGTTCTGAGGGAGGCCCTGGCTCGGCACTGGAAACACTCTGTTTAGGAAGAAGCCATGTGTGCCCTCCTAGGGAGCCCAGAGCCCTGACCCATGCTGCACAGCCCTCCTGGTGGTGGCATGTCCAGCCACCTTCCACTAAGCACAGCGCTGAGCAGCTCAGGGTCCTCCCTCGGACCCTGCCAGTGCCCTGCCCTGGTTCCGTTGGGGAGCTGAGCACAGGGAGGCCTGGCCTGCGCTCACCCACCTCCATGTGCTTCTGCTTCATGGCTTCGTAGTAGGGTGAGTGCTCAGCCAGGTGGCGGCTGGGGGCGCACAGGTAATAGATGTTGCGGGTGCCGGCCTGCATGCGACCTGCATAGTCTGTGAGGCTGGTCAGCTGCCCGGCGGGCAATGCCGAGGACTCGTAGCGCAGCAACTTCGCTATGTCCTCCTAGAGACAGACAGAAGGCAGGTCACTGCTCGGAGCGCCACCTGGCCAGCTGGGCACAGACCCGCTGGAACCTGTGCAGCCCAGCTCTTTGGGCTGGCTCCAGCCCTTGGGGGCTGTGGTGGTCTCTTTGGCAGAGTCCGAGACAGGCCTTGCTCTGCTCATGAGGTCCCACCTCCAGAGGATGGGGAGTCGGACAGTACCTTCTATCCCAGGTGGCCCAGGGCCTCCTGTAGGGAGAGCCGCGCACTCTGCATCCGGGCAGAGGCCAGGCCCCATCCATGGCAGACCCTGCTCCTAGACCCAGCGTCTTCCCTGTGTCTTCAGTACAGACCCTGCCCCTAGTGGACACGTGTGCAGGGATGTGGAATCCTGCACATCCCAGCTTCCTCACAGCCAGCTGTGGTGGGTGACTGGCTCTGGCCAGTGGCATATAAGTGAAAGCGAGATTTGGAAAAGGGGCTCCTCCTCCTCTCTGTCAGCTGAATGCAAATGTGACCGCTGGTGCCCACCTGGGTTCAGTGGGGCTGCGTGGGAAGGATGCAGGAGCGGCAGCAAGCTAGGGGCCTGGTCCCTGATGCCGACAGCCCGGACACTGCATTATCCAAGCCACTGTCACCTGGGATGATCACAGGCACAGAAGAGTGGTGCAGAGTGCAGGAACGTGAGGACTGGCCACGAGAGCACCCAGGGATAGGTCTGAGCGAGGTGCTATGACTGGGACTCGAGGTGGACAAAAGCAGACACAGAGAGGGAAGAACCAGGGTCTGGGAAACACCCAGCAAGGCCCATCTACCTCCAGATGCGAGGACCTGCACACGTGCACATGCAACACGGCCCCCACTGATGGACACAGACACGTGCAACAAGTGGGTGTTTACAGAGCACTCGGACAAGTCTCTGGCCCTCAGAGAAGACAACCTAGTGCCGTAACTAAAAAGACCAGCCAGAATGAACGGAGAGTCCAGCAGGCATAAGCTGCTAGAGTCTGTGGGCCACCAGGGGCAGGATGAGGCCAGAGGAAGAGCAGTTGAGGCCTTCCTCAGTGCCCACCCCACCCTCCTCCCCAGGCCTGAAGCAGCCTCCTCGGGACCCCAAACGTTCGATAGCCCTCCTTTGCCTGCTGCTGTTTGGGGGAAAGACAACGGGGGCCGTGATGAAGACAAACAGTGCCAGCACTGGGGGCTGCTTTTGGGGCGGGGCTCCCTCAGGGGGTGAAAATGTTCTGGAATTTGATGGTGGAGGCTGCATAACACTGTGGATGTACTAAATGCCACTGAATATACTTTAAATGGGTGGATATTATGAATTTCATGGTACGTGAATTATATCTCAATAAAAAACATCCAAAAATGTTTATGGAACAAATGTGTCATTTTTCAGCAATTAACTGTTTGGTTAACTATTGGCCCCAATGGCATAATTTTAAGGGATTTCTATTAACTATATAATGAATATCCCCAAACACAACTACACTTCCCCCTCCTATCTGGGAAATCAGATACCCTGGCCTGCTCTTTCTGTGGTCTCCCCAGGCCTACAACACCCTCTGAGAGGAGACAGAGCACACGCCCCCTTCCTGCCAGCCTCAGGGGCTAGGGTGTCAGAGGGTGCTGAGGCCAGCCCTTCAGCTAAGAGCTCAGTGTCACGGGTCAAGGGTAAGGCTGCGCCCAGGACATGCGCTGGGCCCACTGCATCCACTGGCAGAGACCAGAGGACCAGCATTCCGTCTCCTGACCCCAACACCAGTGGTCGCAGCAGCCAGCTGTCCCCTTGTCACATCCAGGGAAGCCAGCAGTGTTCCCCATAGCCCTGGGGCCATGACAGAGCAGAGAAAGGCCTAGAAGCCCCATCCCTACCTTAACCTCCTGCTCGGCAGTGGTCACGATGCCCTCCCTCATGAACAAGCCATAATCTTCAAAAAACTTTGTATATTTCTCAGCATCTTTTTTACTCTGGTCAACGAAGAATTTTATTAGCCTCTTCTGTAAAACATCCCGAAGTTTCCTACAGAACAGAAATTCATTTAACACAGACAGGCAACTCCTGTGAAATACGAACTGAAAGGACATGAAAAAATGTTCTACCCCATAAATAATCAAAGAAACGAAAACAGCAACATACCATTTGAGTCCAAACTGAGAAAGACTGAGCAGAAAGGAAGGGCAACCCTCGGCAATCGCTGGTTAGGAGGCAGCACAGCAAGGTGCACGCACCCCTTGAGGCGGGACGGGGAAGTGACTCCCCACCCTGGGAGGACCACCCAGTGACCAGTAGATGTCACTGCCCTGTGTGTGGGTTGTCCAGTGACAGAAATTACACCTTAGGAAATAATCACGAGTACACCAAGCCTGATGAACCAGGATTTCACTGTGGCGCATAAATATGAGACAACTATGAACAATCTTAGTGACAGGTTAAAATGAATGACACAATAACTGCATGGCCATCAAAAATCGTGTCTTTTTTTTTTTTCCTTTTTGTCTTTTTTCGTGACCGGTAACGGGATCACAACCCTCGGTGTCGCGCCCGCACCGCGCTCAACCAGTGAGCAGACCGGTCTCTATATGGGATCTGAACCCTCGGCGGGAGCACCGCACTCTACCGAGTGCGCCACCAGGCTGGCCCCAAAAATCGTGTCTTCTGATAATCTTCAAGGACACAAGAGTGTGCCCATGTTGAAAGAAAAACCAGAAAAATCCTAATATGGGTCAATTACAGTGCCCATAGTGCATCTGTGTATGCAAGGGCTGTATATTCTACATGTACATCATAATTTTCCATCTTAGGATCACTTTTGTATGTACTATCCATGTACATTCTAATTTGGGATTTATACTAGACTATATTCATACTACAAATCTTCAAAATTGGGATTTTATGGACCAGGATGCTTACTATAGTGTTATTTAATGGCCTAAAAATATGAGCAACTTTATTAGTAGGATTAGGGGCATTTTTATTTCCTTCTTAATATCTTACCTCTCCTTTAAGAGGTAAAATTACAATGTATTCCTGCAACAGCCCAGTGTAGGGGACAATAATGTCTAAAATGCATGTAAGCTTTTCCTCCTCCACTCCCGCCATGAATGACTCAGTGCATCAGCCACAGGGCAGGACAGAATGGGCAAGCATCCACACTGTGGAGGGGGAGCCTCAGCAGCCGAGGATGGGGTACAGGGCCCAGGTTGGGGTGACCCTGGCATGGCCTGTCAGAGCCCAAAGACCCCAGATGAGGGAGTCCAGGCTAGGCGTACAAGCAGACAGGAAGAAGGCAGTGGCAATGGCAGATTGGCGACATGGAGGGGGTTGGTCAAATATGTAAATATGTGAAGAATAATGAGAGGCAGATTTCTCACATCAAAAGGGAGTTTCAAACATGGAAAAAGGGCAAGACTAGAACCTCCCGTGGAACTCGATTGGTTTTGGAGGTCTTGGTGTGAACTCGATAATGCAGACATAAACACGCCTGCAGGTGTACGTACGTACACCAACCCACGTGTGCATGCAGTCTACGCTAGAAGCCGTGACACCCCGACAGAAACGGGCAGCCCTGGTGCCCACATCTTGGCTCCTAAACACCATCCTCCACTAAAGCAGCCAGGGCTCCCTTAAGAAGTGAGAACTTCCAGGGCTATGAAAAGCAGCAAAACACAAGACGCACCTAGCACACCTTATGCCAGGCAAAATGCTCGAAGTACGCAGCACCTGTCAGAAGGGACAGTTGTCAGCCTGATGGGGCTCCTGCGGGCCACAGTGGGGACAGCTTGAGCATCAAAATAAATAATGATAGCAACAGATTATAACCCCTTGAATAAAATGGAAAATCAGTCTATGCAAATAAGTTATAAATATTATAAACATAAAACTTAAATATTGTAAGTAAATGAATACATTGAAGGACTGGTGAAGAATGTGACATTTACATAGCTTCAAGATACCACCCCGCAAAATGTTTATGAATTACAAAGGGGAAAGGAGTAAATTCCCATGGAGAAGTTTGGCAGACACCCTCGTAACCCAGTGTTAAAGTGAACATCGCCAGTGATGGGACAGATCACTTTCATAGGAAAAACAAGCCAGGAAGTGAAGTTTTTTTTTTTTTTTTTTTTTTTTTTTTTTTTATTCTCACCATTTTAAAGTATGCAATTCAGTAGCATTTAGTACAGTCACAATGTTAAGCAACCCCCACCACTATCAAATTCTAGAACATTTTTTTTTTTTGTCTTTTTTCCGTGTCCGGCAACGGATCGCAACCCTCAGTGTTGCCCCCGTACCGGACCGGGGACCGGCAACGGGATTGCAACCCTCGGTGTTGCTCCCGCGCCTCGCTCAGCCAGTGAGCGGGAGCCGGTCTGTATGTGGGATCTGAACCCTCGGACGGGAGCGCTGCCGCACTTCCCAAGCGGCGCACTATCCAGTGCGCCACCGGGCCGGCCCAGGAAGTGAAGTTTTGCATGAAGATTATCTGTGAGCCTGGAACCATCCAGGGCACGTCAAGGATGCTGACAGTGTCCTGAGTTGGCACTGCCAGCGGGGGGGTGCCACCTCTACGTAGAGCCTGGCCACCGCGCTGGGTTGTGGTCAGAGAGCCCTATTGTGGGCGTGGCTGGAAAGGGCTGGCTCACTCTGGCTCTATAGCACCCCCTTCCTAGACTCCAGCCTCAGAGGTCACCAGCCATTCCCAAATTCTTCTGGACCTGGGACTGAGCTGCTTGAGGATGTGCCTTAGACCCCGCCCCTCAGGCGTGGCTGCCCCACCTTCACGTCTGCCCTAAGCTCCTGGAAGCCCAGCCCTGGGCCCTCTCTGGCAGCCAAGCCAGGCCACTGAGAGGCTTTGTCCTCTGTAGGAGCCCAACTCCCCGCTTCCTGGGGCTCACCTGATGAGAGCACTCTCCTGCAGGAGCTCCCGGCTTAGGTTCAGGGGGATGTCCTCGCTGTCCACCACACCTGAGGGGGTGCAGAGCAGATCAGGGTCTCCCTGTGCCCGCAGCCCTGTCCCCCTTCCTCTGAGCCAACCTCAGCCACCGCTTGGTCCTCCACGTTCTCAACTGGACCTTCATCTTCACAGCCCAGCCTTAAATCAACCACATGTGATAAGAGGGAAGAGGCAGGACAAGGCAGGCTGAGCTTCCTCTAAGCCCGTTTCCCAGAATCAGAGCACACCAGAGCACAGAGCACAGAGCACAGAGGTGTGATCTGATGGCAGGCCAGGCAGCCCCTGCACCCATCTGACACCCGGAAAATGACACGCTGGGGTTTATGTTAACAACTGTAACTGTAACTGTGGATAGCTTGTGCCTTTGTGTGCTAAGATGATACAAAGGTTTAAATCCAACACAATTCATGTATAAATCTGAGACTTGTAATATTTCTAAACACTGAAAAAGCTCAGTTTAAATACCTCTTTGCACCCCTCAAATCAACCAGGCCAAGGTGGAGGCAAGGACGCTTCCCTGTGAAGCCCGGGACTGCTCCCCACATGGCCACTCTGTAAAGGTGGCCACATGCCCAGCCAGTGCTGCAGCTGCACCCCACGCATCAAAGGTGGCCTCTGAGAGCAAGATCAGTAGGTGCTTTAGAAGTGTGGTCGGCAACATGGGCCACACGGGAAGCCACTTGGGGGCACAGGGCTAACAGTCCATGCTGCTGAGCATGGGGGACCACCGTACCTCGGACGAAGCGCAGCCACTTGGGCAGGATGTCCGTGGCCTTGGTCTGGATGAGGACTTTGCGGCTGTACAGTGCAATGCTGGAGCCCAGCTCACGGCTCACATCAAACATGGACGGTTTCTGGGGGCAAGGAAAGGACAGCGTCAGGCAACAATGGCAGAAACCCCCTCAGCTGCAGGAGCAGAACTAAGAGCAGGGTTCCGAAAGCCCACCCTTCCCCAGGCCAGCCTAGGGCTGACAGGTGTGGGGCAGATGTGACAAATCCAGAGGACAAGGAAGGCCAGGAGACTGTCCCCGTACCCACCCCTTGCGCCCTCCACCCTGTCTGCTCTGGCGGAAGCCTGAAGTCCAGGGAGGACAGCCAGACGACACCCCACACCACAGCTCTGCAGCGGATCGGGTGGCTGCTTCCCCAACCCACTCCCTACAGAGGACGTAAAAAATGAAGACTTCCCCGTGCACTCAGCTAAAACCTTGCTCTGGGTCAGGGGCCAGAAAACCAGAGCTCACAGGCCAGGTGTGGTCCACTGTGCATCTCTGTGTAGCCTAAAAATGATTTTTATATTTTTAAAGGGTTGGAAAAAAATTTTTAAAAGGCATGTTTCATGACATGTGAAACATATATTAAATTCACATTTTGGTGTATACAAAGTTCACGTAGGTAAGGTCCAAACCATGGCCTGCAAAGCTGGAACCAGACACTGGCTGGCCCTCATGGAATGTGCCTGCTGATCCCTGTTCTACCTTAGAGCTTCACAGCCTGTAACTGCATAATGTTACCTGGGATCTTGTTAAAATGTGCACTCTGCTCGGGCCACACTTGGGACAGTGAGGACCAAGCACAGCTCTTCCCAAAATGGGCATTAATGCATGAGGGACGTTACCAGGGTTCCAGTCCCACAAAGGCAGGAAAGCCTGGGTTCTTTTGGCAGGGGGGATGGAGGGGCCGCTGGCTGATACAGGAATCCAAACCCTTGATCTTGGTGTTACAAGGCTGCTCTCTAATCAGCTGAGCTAATTGGCCAGCCCAAGGCTGGGTTTTAAGCCCTGAGCAGGTTTTACTGCAGGCCTTGTCAGAGCTTCAACATGCGAATGTGAACCATGAACCGTGAGAGTCTGCGGGGACAAGCAGGAGCATGCGGAGTCCACCAAGGCAGCCGACCCACCACAGACCCCTCACAGAACTGCCACACAACCCAGCCATGCACCGCCTTATGGCTAAGTGAGTACAGGCAGCTGCTCTGAGGGCCCCTCCCTGGACACCCGGAGCTGACACCCGGAGCCAGCACCCGGTCTACCGACCCCAGGCCCACACCTGCAAGGCCAACCCCTCTGCTCCATGCTAAAAGACATCACAGAAAACATTCTCTCATTGTGCATGACTCAGTGAGACAGAAAAAATCTGTTCGCCATCCAGAGGCATCAGTTTCTCCTTTGCTCCATGCTGCCGAGTCAGCTGTGTGATGTGTTTGCCCTGAGCCGTCCCCATTTGGGCAAAGTGCTGCCAATGCTGAACTGCAAGGGGGGGGGGGGGGGGGGGGGAGGGTGCCTGCTCCAGGGGGCAGCGGAGGCCACTGAGCAGCCCCAGCACCCAGGGCCAGGCTGGGGCCTGAGCGCCTCACCGTCTCGGGCACATAGAAGATGCTCCGGATGTTGAGTGGCGCGTCCGTCTTGTAGTGCAGGGTGTAGCGGGGCTGGTCATAAGCCTGAGCGATATAACGGTAGAAGTCCTCGTGCTGCCCCTCACTGATATCTTTGGGCTCCATCATCCAGATGGCCTGGATGTGATCAACAGGGGGCATCGTGTTTAAAACATGTCTTCCCGATGACTGTGTAGAGCTGAGCTACTGGAGCACAGGCTCCCAGACTGGCCTCCTGGGACACGGAGTGGTGGTCTCAGGGGCAGACCCCCCCCCGCCACACACACACCATCTCCAGCCCCACCCACACCAGCACTGGCGGGGCTGGGGGTGGGGAATGAAAAGGAGACACACAAAAGGCTCTGGAGCAAGTGCCCTCCCCAGGACAGTATGTCTGGAAGGGCCACCCAGGAGGACGACCTGAGGGCGCCCGCGAAGGGTAACAAACGCTGCCTGTCAGTGGGGAGATAAACACAGCATGGCCGTGCACACAGTGGAATGCTACTCAGCCGAGAAAAGGACGGAAGCACTGAGACGTGCCACCCATAGCTGAACCTTGACGTCATGCTCAGTGAAAGCAGCCAGTCATCAAAGACCGTGTACTGTGTGATCCCATTTGTGTGAAACATCCAGAATAGAAATATCAACAGACCAAAAGGAGACTGGTTGCCTGTGGGGGCAGATCAAATGGAAAGTGCCAAATGGGATGGGGGGGCTTTTTGGGGTGATGAAAATGTTCTAAAAATGACTGTGGTGGTGACCACACAACTCTGCAAATACTGAAGACCACTGAACCATATGCGAAACAGGTGAACCGTATGGTGTGGGAATTACTCCTCAACGAGCCTGACCTCAGGCGGCAGGTGCGCATGGACTGGTGTGGTGGGGGTGGGGACCCTGCCTGTGCCCTGTGACTCTGGACAGTGCCACCCAGGCTCACTGCTACCCCCCACCCTGAAGTGTGCACGTTTTTCTCCATGGCTGGCTGAATCCTTCAAGCAGCTCAGGGTCTCACCTGCAAAGTATTAATGCGCCTTCCATTAAGGTACAAAGGGAAGCTGACAAAGTTACTATACTTTGTTACCACATCTGGAAGAGAAAAGAAACAACGACAAATACAGAAACTTCTAGAAACAATAGCTTTGATCTGGCTCCAGGGTGAGCACAGCCTGCTGGGAAGGGAATTCCATGCTGTGTCCTTTTCACAAGTGCAGAAACCAGGGTGCAGCAGGTTCCCGTCCCCCCTGCCTAGTCGCACAGTGATCCCTGGAGGCCCAATCCACTGCGAGACTGTGAGGCCTTCTCGTGGCAGAAATACAGATTAATGGGCTAACAGTGAATGCCGGAAAGTGCTCAGCACCTTTGATGAGTATTCAGAAGGACAGGGAAGGAGAAAAGCAAACACAGAGTGCCACCTCCCTCTGGCTCTCCAGGAGGCCTGGGCCCAGAAGGCCCCACCAGGCAGGCCAGGGCCAAGGGCTGCCATCGTCTCACAACATGACTTTGCCAAACCCACCAAGTTGCTAAAGCCTAAGGGCTCCACAAAGAGATGAAGAGAACAAAACCTGAGTATGCCAGCACAGCCTGGCTTCCAGCTCCACGGCACAGAGCCGGCAGGAATTGTGTCCAACACAGACCTAGCGGTCACCCCCAGAAGCCCAGCCCTCTCCCAGGTCCCGCAGCAGCTCGGCCTCTCACAGCTCTGCCCACAAGTCCCTCATCCGGGTGGAATCTAGTAAAACATGCTAGCAGGAGACTGGCCTAGCTGGCCACCACACATGTCCCTGGAGCCGAGCCCAGGGCCCAGGCTCCCACTCACCTCGAACCCGGGCCTCGCTGGTGAACTCTCTGCAGTCTGCCTTGAGGTGGACGATTATTTTTGTCCCGGTTCTAACTCCTGAAGCTTCAGCAATTTCAAACACTCCAGAGCTAAGACACACAAGGAAAAGGAAAAGCCAGTTCCACGTGTCACTGCCTACAAAATCTCATCCAGCAAAGTCAGTCACCTTTCCTTAAGATCTTCACAAGGACAGCCCAAACCAACATGAAGGCAGGGAACAGAAGTGCCCGTCTCTGACCCCAGCAGAGCCCCTCAGGCCACCACTGTGGGTGGGGTGCAGAGCGCTGTGGGGTGTGGGGCATTCCGGCTCCCTCAGGGCTCCTCTGCCTACCCTCTAGGAGAACCTCCTGGGCTTATATTACCAGAAGGCAGGCCCAGCGGCACGGGTGGGGCCTTGCCAGCCCCGAACCAGCACCAGACGCCTGGGGGAAAACAGTCCAGGTCCTATGCTGTTTCTGATTTTCTGGCAGAGGCCAACTGCCCCTTTAGAGGAGCAGAAACCATTTCAGAAGTGCAGGAAGACGGGACGGACCCCAGACAGGGCCTTGCTGATACGTGGGCCCATTCACTCTGAACACTGCTTTCATGGAATTTATGGAAATCTTAGTTTTGACTGAGAGGAGATGAGCTATGCTCCAGCCAGGCCTCCTCTCTGGCTGGGCTACTAGACACAGTCAGCAAAGTATAACTCATAAATGAAGCTTTGAGCCTACTGAAAAAAAATGCTTAAATTTGGCTAAGGTACTGTTCTCCTCAAACATAGTCTGAAGTTTTTTTGGAACATCCACCTGTTCAACCACGTGCATACTGCAGAACCAGTCTCTGAGAGAGCACACCTCAGCCTGGCTGGCATGGAGCCGGGAGTAGCCTGCTCTCTGCCCTGGGGGAGCTCCCACAGAAGGAAAGCCAGAGGAGGCCACTTGCAGAGGCAGAACAGGAGAAAGGCCTGTGCTGTAGCCAAACCACTAAAGGAAGGAGCTAGGTCTGGGACGGGGCCGAGCATTCCAGAGCACAACACCTGGTGACCAACCACGTGGGACCGCACAGACACCGCAGGCCAGGTGGAGCTGTAAAAGTCACTGGCTCCCCAAAGCTGGAGAGTCAAACTTCATGTAAAAAGCCCAGAAAATATCCATTTTTATTTTCTGAAGAAAGTCTAATTCTTTCCAAACTCAGTGGGTAACTGGCTCAGTTGAATTCCAATTTGTACATCAGGTGACACTGGGCGGCAAGCGCTCCCAGGATGCGGACAGTCCTATGTGGGATAGGCCCGCTCCCCACTCACCCGTCTGAGAGCCACTGGTAACCCAGGCTCCCCGGGGCTGCCGCGCGGGAGTAGACCTCCACCCTGTCAGCTACCATGAAGGCCGAGTAGAAGCCCACTCCAAACTGCCCGATGATCTTGCTGCTGGCCTCGGCCTGGTTCTGCAGCGCTTCCAGAAAGGCCTATGGGGCAAAGGTTGGTCAGAGGAAGGACTCCCCTCCTTCCCCAAAAGCACAGACACCATGACTTCCTGTGAATGTTGCCCTAGCACATGCTGATATCTCATTCAGTCCTTGAAACCACCACCTAAAGCACTTGTCCACTAGCCCCATCTTATACACAGAGAGCCAAGGCACAGACAGGTGAAGCAACCTGCCCAGGAACCCAACTGGCAACATGGCCTGGGTCGATATGCAGGTGCTGCCTGTTGTAAACAAGCAGGTCCCAGCCCCAGGGGTGGAGAAAGAGGCAGCGCATCCTGAATGTTTGGACCCTACAGATCAGTCAGTTAGGGAGTAGACGCTTCTACATCTGTCTTCTGCATAATGACTGCGAGATTCTAAGCTTTGTGGGACAATAGTACAAACCAAATACATGCTTCTACACAGTGTTCCATGACACTTAATTATTCTAATGTCATAAAATTTCCTCAGATTAACTTAACTAAAATGCACACGCTCACTGCTTTGACCAGCACTGTTCAATACGATGTCCTGCAATGGTGGAAATGTTCTACATCTGCCAGGTCCACCATGGCAGCTGCTGACACATTTGGCTGTTGAACACTTGAAATGTGGCTAGTGCAATTGAGGAACTGAATTTTAAATTTAATTTTAATATGTTTAAATTTAAACAGCCACATGTCACTAGTGGTTACTGTACGGAAGAGCACAGACTATCCTTGAGAGAAATATAACAAAAAACTTTAATGGGGGGAAAGTCACACTTATAGTAGTTTTTTAAACGTAGAAGTTTCTGTGAATCACCGAGGACCAGCAGCTGCACTGTTTTCACACAACTGGCAGCAAGCGCCCACAGGTACCACTTTGCCTAACAAAACCAAATGGGAGAGCACTCAGTCAGCAAGGGGAGACACCACAGCTGCTAAGGGCCATGGGCTTCAGCCTGGGGTTGGTACAGACGCTGCTGAGGAGGAAGACTTGACCGGCCACATCAAGGCTTCCCACTGTGGGCTTCAAAGTCACGCCAGCAGCCAAACCATGCCCCTGATGCTGGCTTGTCCCCATAAAGCAGTCTGACAAGAACCATCACACTTACAGATGTCAAGGCCCGAGCTTATTCTAGGGAATGGTAATGTCTGAGAGGAACGGAACTCATCTCTGTGGACCTCTTCCTGCCACGCCCGTGCAGCCCAGGGAGTCACTGAGGGAAGACTTTGCAGGAGAGCGCAAGACGCAAAAGGCACGTTCTGGACTCAGAATGACTGCCTTTGAGCCTACGGTCTGCCGGTTTCTAGCTATGGACAAAGTACCTGTTTCAGTCTCTTCATCTATAAACTGAGAATGCTAACAGAAACTATCTCAAGGTCCCTGTGATGCTAAACTGAAATGATGTCATCAAGGGTCCCCCCACAGTGCCCACTGCACGGGACACACCTGATCACGTTTTTACCTAATCTGGCATTCAAGGCACCCTTACCTGAACCCTTGCACCAGAGGAAGAGGCAAGGCAGGGAATGTGCTCACCTTTGACCCTGATCTGGCGATCGTCCCCAGGTTGGATACCAGCTCTTCTTGTGTCATCCCGATGCCAGTGTCCTGAGGAGAAAGACACTCTAAGTGCCAAGGCACTGGCACCTGGGGAATGGGGTGAGGTGCGTGGACACCCCAGGGGCTCAAATGGCATCAGTGACAATGGCCAGACAGGACCAGGAAAGCAACACCATGTGCTCCCCAGAAAAACTAATTCCTCTCACATGGACCCTGCCACACCAGAGAAAACCAGAGGGATAGGAGAGCAGAAGGTTTGTTTATTAAAAACCATCCTGAGAAGAAAATATTAAGTCGGCAATGTATAGGAAAAAGTACAACTCCTCCATCCCCAAGATTTCGCCTCGTCAACACCTTCTCCCTGGTTTGGTTCTTTAGGTCACCTGCTTCCTCCTTTGATGGCTCCATTGATCCAGTGGAACAATCTGGTTTAAGAGAATACAAACTGTAGGAGGCATGCGTCAAGAGTGCAGCTCCGCAGTGACGGCCTAACCCCTGCTGCCACAGGAAAAGCAGGGACAGAGTGACGGTCTCCTGCCTCTTGGCCAGCACCTCTCCTGGAGTGCTAATACCTCTCACTTGGGAGCCCCAGATCCTTCTGGTCCTGTTGCAAGCTGCTGCAGTCTGAATGCTGGTGTCCCCCAGAATTCATATGTTGAAAGCTAACCCCAAGGCCATGCTGTTAGGAGGTGGGGACCTTGGGAAGTGATCAGGTCATGGGGGTGGAGCCTTATGAATGACATAATGGCTGTGTAAAAGAGCCTGATGGAGCTCATTTACTCCTCCACCAAGTAAGGACACAGAGAAGGCGCCATCTATGAGGAACAGGCCCTCACCAGACACTGCTGGCGCCTTGGTCTTGAACTTCCCCGTCTCTAGAACTGTGAGCAATACACTTCTGATGTTTATAAGTTACCCAATCTAAGGTATTTTCTTACAGCAGCCTCAACAGACTAAGACACAGCCAAAGCACCTGTGAAAACTCAACGAGGTCTAATACCTACCACAGGATCTTCCTTCTTCAAAGCCCACTAGGGTCACATTTAGAGTTCCTCCCTTCTATACTACAATAACGTACCTGCAGGGCTGGCTGGTTAACTCACTTGGTTAGAGTGTGGTGCTGACAACACCAAGGTCCAGGGTTTGATCCCTGTACCAGCCAGCCACCAAACTGTAAAAAATAAAAAATAATGAGCAAAAGCTCTGAATAGATATTTCACAAAGACATACAGAAGGCTAACGAACACATGAAAAGATGCGCAACACCATTAATCATTAGGAAATGCGAATTAAAACCACAAGAGATACTACTGTACACCCACTGGAATGGCTAAAATTAAAAAGACCAACAACATCAGGTGTCGACAAGGATGCGCAGTACCCGGCATTCCCTCACTGCTGGCAAGAAGGTAAAGTGACACCCACGATGGTGAAGTTCGGCAGCTTCTTATCAACTTAAACAGACACCACCTTACTACCCAGCAGTCCCACTCCTAGATATTTACCCAAGAGAACTGAAAACCTACATCCACACAGAGACTACACTCCATCGCTCACTGCAGCTTTACTCCTGACATCCCCAAATGCCCATCAACGGGTGAGCAAACCGCGGCACATCCACACCCACACTTCTCAAAGTCCTGGCACGTGCAGCGACGTGGGTGGGTCTCAAAAGCACCGTGCTAAGCAAAAGCAGACAGACTCCAAAGACTAAAACTGTGTGATTCCAGTTATACAAAGTTCTAGAAAATACAAAACTATAGTGACAGAAAGCAGGTCAGTGGTCGCTAGGGGCTGGGAAGGGAGGAGGAAACTGACTGCAAAGGAACCCAAGGGAGCATAGGTGCTGGCACAACCATACAGGGATCACACAAATGGACACACTGGTCAAAGCCCCGAAGCCCACAGAGCTGGGTGGCATGCAAATCATACCTCAGCAAAGCTTACTTAAAAACAATAAGAACAAAGAAGGGCACACATACACACACCAGAGAGAACGAGTGAGCAGAAAGTGACCAGCAGGGAGGTCCTTACACATATGTGTACACAAGCACTCACACACCCCTTACCCTAAAAGGAAGAAAAGTTCAGGAATTCTTCTTATAACAACCAAACAAGCAAAGGATGAATTCCTTGGTTAGCAAAAAAAGACAAACACCTCCCTGAGAATGAAAGAAAAATTAAGATAAAAAAATGTTAACTATTTAGAAGATAGGGGAGAATTAAGGCAAAGTCAGAGTGAAAGTGAGAGACAGGAGACCCTACCCCTCACAGCCATGGGTCAGGCCCTGTTGCTGTACGGGGAACCGACAACCTGATGGCCTTTGAAGGCCAGGCTGGTTCATAATGGGGTTTTTCAGGCATGGCGACTGGTGGCCCCCACTGTGTTAGAGCAGGACACAGCTTGTCTGCAGCAGACACGTGTCATTCATGTGCTCTAGCTACTGATAACAAAGTCCTAAGCAGGTAAACCGAGCTCACTCTGTAGTAGCAGATAGCAAAATGAAAAATGCTAAGCCACATTTGTCACTCAGGAAATGCAAACCACTCGCAGCTGGACCAGGGGTGGAGCAAGAGCTCTCCCTCAGGCCTTTGAAAGCACACGTTGGACATGCCACTTTGGCAGAGCATTTGCCACTACCCAATAAACTTGAACATGCCCAAACCCTACAATCCAGTAATGCTACGCCTAGTATGTATCCGAGGATATATACTATATAAACTCCTATGCTTGAATATAAGGAAAACCTTACACAAATGTTTACAGCAGCATTATTTGTAATAGCAAAAATAATTCAAATGTACAGATTATATAAATGATGGTTTATTTATACAACGGAATGCTCTATAGCTTTCCAAGCTGCAATAACTGAACAAAAGAAGCAAACCACAGAAAAATACCACTTGTATGATTCCTTTATTATTAACAGGCAAAATGAAATAATGTATTATTCAGAGATACAAACACAGATGGTGAAATTACAAAGAAAGAAAGGAAATGATTGTCACAAAAGTTAGAACAGCAGGTATTTTCTAGGTGAAAGAGCTGTGACTAAGGAGGGACACACTGGGGGCTAAGATTCCAGAGTGTTCTATTCCTTAATCTGGGTGGTGGTTATATGAGTGTTCTCTTTATTAGTCTTTTCAACTTCTACATGTTCTCCCAAAATAAAATAAAGTAGAACCACTACATAAGTTTCTACCAATATCCAGCCCTTCTCAAGGAAATGGTGGAAAATGAAGAGAAGTACCTTAATGCAAAAGTTTGCCACCTACTTCTTAAATCCTCACTACTGCAGCCAGGCGACTGAGGTCAACATCAACAGTGGTACGTCATATGGACAGCGTGTGCCCTTGACATGCTGTGATAAGAAGGGCACTTGACCTCTGTGCTCTTCCTCCCAGAAGCCAACACCCCATTCTGATCATGAGGAAAACATCAGACAAATCCCAATGGAGGGGCATCCTACAAAAAATATCTGACCAGTTCTCCTCAAAAAATATCTGACCAGTTCTCCTCATCTCTCTTGTCCAAGTAATCGAAAATAAGGGAAGCCTTCACTGCCAAGAGGAGCCTAAGGAGAAAGGAGGAGTAGATGTCATGTGGGATCCTGGATGCTCCTGGGACAGAACAAGGACATTAGGGGAAAAGTAAGAAAGCCCAAATAAAACATGGATTTTAGTTAAGCATAATATATCAACAGTGGTTCATTAACTGTAACCAATGTAACATACTAATGTAAGATTTTCGTCATAACGGAAACTGGGTGTGGAATGTATGGAAACTCTGTACTATCTTTGAAATTTTTATGCAAACCTAAATCTGTTCTAAAATAAAAGATTTAGTTAAAAAAAAATAAAGTTGAAGTTCAGGGCTCTCAGATGTAGAGAAAGATTTGTTGCCAGCAGACCTGCACCTTGAGAGACTTTAAAAGGAATTTGTGAGGGTTCACATCAGGTGTATATGTAAAATAACTGACATCAAAAGAAAAAGAGATTTTGGGGCCGGCCCGGTGGCGCACTGCTACAGTGCGCCGCTTGGGAGCTCGGCGGCGCTCCCGCCGAGGGTTCAGATCCCACATACAGACCGGCCACTCACTGGCTGAGCGAGGTGCGGGGGCAACACCAAGGGTTGCGATCCCGATGCCGGTCCCGGTCCAGTACGGGCGCGACACTGAGGGTTGCGATCCGTTGCCGATCATGAAAAAAGACAAAAAGGGAAAAAAAAAAAAAAGAAAAAGATTTTTTTACTGGGATAATACTATTATAAGATTCTTACATTATAAGTGAAGTGGTAAATATTAATTCAAGCTAGACAGGGATAAATTAAGGCTACATGTTTTATTCCCTAAATCCCCTAAAAATAACAAAAAGCAAAGTAGCTGAAATGTCAGTAGAGGAGATAGAATGGCATAATAATCTCTGATATGTCACAAAAGCCCTTCCTTTACCAAAACTTTACCTAAGAATAATGTATCAATATTGGTTAACTGTAACTAATAGAGCATACTCATGTCATGTGTTAAGAATAGGGGAAACTGGGTGGTAGAGGCTTATAACAGAACCCTCTGTAGTATCTGCTCGAATTTCCTGTAAATCTAGAACTATTCTAAAAAAGAAGGAAAGAAGACAAAAACAAACAGACATCATATAAATGGTCCCAGTGCAGGAAGCACTGGCCCGTAAGGACAAGCCCCTGGGGGACCAACAATCAAGCCCAGCTGCCTCTGCCCACCACATCCATCTCCCAACAAACCCTGGGCTGGCAACAATAGGGAAGCGCAGGATGCCCCTTTCATATGCCACAGCCCTGTGCCTCCAGCCCTGCTCACAAGGGCCAGCTCATGGAAAGGCTGAGAAAAGAAACCCACTCCCTACCTGATCCTTGTGACAAACTGACCATGACAAGCAGCCTACACACACCAACGTGGCTCAGCCTGGATTCTCTAATTCTTTCCCAAGAGGGAGGATATGAAGCTAAGACCACCCAAGACCCTTCCTTTAACTAAAACAGCCATCCCTTCGCAAGTTCATTCATTCATTCATTCACCTGGCACAGCCTTAGGAACCAGCCAGCACTCCAGAAAAAGATGCTCAGACCCCACAAAGGCCCATCCTTCTACCTCTCCACAGAGTCGTAGCCCCCCTCCCCAATTACACTCAAGACCCTGGGACAACAGGTCCTAAGGCAGCGGTCTCAGGGACACAATGTTCCTGGGGATCATGGCCTGATGAACCCCTGTTGCCTGTCTAGCTTTTTGACCTTAAAATTTTCACAAGGTTAGAACAAACACCACAAATACTATTTCATCTAAAGCAAGACTGTCATCCAGACAGTGGGCTGCTATTAAAAATAGTACCGCAGAAGGGCCGGCCAGTGGCTCACTTGGGAGAGTGTGGTGCTGATAACAAGGCCGTGGGTTCGGATCCCTATATAGGGATGGCCAGTTAGCTCACTTTGGACAGCGTGGTGCTGACAACACCAAGTCAGGGGTTAAGATCCCCTTACCAGTTATCTTTAAAAAAAATAAAATAAATAGTACCACAGACTACTTAATAACATGGGGAAATATGCATCATAAGGAGGAAAGCACAAAAAAATTTTTTTAAATATGAAAAAAGTTAAAAAATGTTTAGACATGTTAAAAACTGCATACATACCAAATGGACATATCCTAAAATGTTACTAGTACTTATCTTTCGATGATGGGGTGATTTTCAATTTTCTCCTATTCTGCTTACCTGTGTTTTCCAAATTTTCTATAATAAATGAGCATTATTTTTACAGTAAACTAAAATAAGAGTTATCATAACAGTAAAGATGGTCAGCCTGTCACTTGGAGCCTCAAGATGCAACTAGAAGACAGGTATCATCTCCCCTAGCAGGGCTGCTGCCCACAAGGCCCAACCCAGTTACTCTTCGCAACTAGCATGGCATCCCAAGAGGCTAGAAGTCTTCCGTGTGCCTGGACACTGGGAAGGAGGTACCTGGATAGTGATGGTGCCTTTCTCAGCGTCGGTCTGCAAGTGAATCTCCATTTCTGGCAGCGTCTGGCCGTCAGCCACCAACTTATGACGCAGTTTTTCCAAGGCATCACTAGCATTGGAGATCAGCTCCCGTATAAACACCTACAGGAATGGAAACAAGAGGGCTGGAGGATGAAGCATACTAACTCTATCTGGTTAGCTGCATTTGCAACAACTGTTAAAAGTCAGAGAATTGCCACCACACACTCAGTTCGCTGGACACAAAGATTTTCTGCTTTAGTCAAAGGCAGTTCCTCTGAGCAGGTCACAAAATTACTAAAGGTGGGTAGCTTCTCCTGACACAGCTCCATGCAGCAAACTGACTCCACTGATCTTTCATTTCAGGATTTTCACTCAAGCCTGAAGTTGTGTCTATTAACTCAAAGCCTGTGAAGAACCCTGTGAGAAACAATTTCTCCCCCAACTCTTGCACAGGGATGACAAATTGCCTCCCCCCACCTACCCCCCAACATCTTTCTCTCCTACTCCATGAAAAAAGATTCACTGGCTTCACTCCATCTAGTGCAGATTACCAAAAACCAGACCTACCATATTTTGGAGAAAAAAGAGCCACAGGACCCAAATGTCCTTTCAGGATCTGAAAAGCACCTTGACCTCAAACAGAGCTTCCATCTAAAGTACGCTACTACACACAGGTGGGGGGGCAGGAAGTGGGGTGATCAGAACAGCTGGAAGTTGCTGGGATCCATGAATATAGAATTTAGTAGTGCTAGACCTGGAAATATTTCTTGGAAAGTCTCTTTTAACTCTGTGATAGTGTGTTTTACTCTTCTCCAAAATTTTTAGCATTCTAGCAATAATTAGCAAGTAAACAATGATAGCCTATTTGCTTTTTTCTACTTTTTCCATGTTCTGTCACCCTACATAAGTTTTAATCTCCTCAAAAGTTCCCTTGTAACTCCTCCCTGCTCTATACCACACAGGGCGGAGGACTCTTCTTCCTCCAGCCACCAAGGCCCCCACTGCTCCTGGAGGTGGTCACACCAGGGGAAGGGGTGATTAAGCACGGGGCCTCAACGCACATCAACAGCCCACAGGAAAGGATCTCAGCAGAGCCCCCACACCAAATTCTGGCAGACTTTTAAAATTATCTGCAAAATTCAATTAATTTCCAGAGTTGATCGGGCCCCAAAAATCATCTGGTTACACTTACCATGAAACTAAAACAGATTTTGGTAAAAATACTCTGGCTGGTAGCTTAAGATCAGGATCCATCCAAAATTTAATGCATTCTCACAGCTAATATATTATCTGGCATTTCCCCAAAATGGTATAAAAATAGTTTTGCCAAAAAAAACCTTGCTGGCATTGGAGCCATTAGCAAGTTCCGTACCTCTTTTTCTGAGTACAATGAACGGGCGACGATGTCCAAAAGCTTCTTTGTCTCAGCCTGGAACTCGTGTTTGGAAACGGAACCTAGTAATGAACCACAGACACACCAATAAAGTTTAACTTCTATTTTTGTGGAAGAATATGCTACATAACACTCAAAAGAATGTTTAAGGTTATGAGTTTTAAACATTTTTAAAAGAGTGAAGAGAAAGAAGGAAGTAGCTAGGAACAAATCCTCTCAGGTAAGGAAGTCCCAGGAGCAGAATAAATCCAGTGGCTCCTCTCCACAGGGAGGGTATACATGGAACACGTTCTCCCAACACGATGGCCAAACACACCTTGGGTTACCTCAAGTGGATTTCCCAAAGTGTGTGGTCATGAGAATTGGGTTGGCTCTAACAACCAGACTGTGGATCATATTCTTCAAAAAAGTGGTTTCCAAATTAATTATTTAAAAAGCAAAACAACAAGAAAACCTCACTTCTCTTCTTAACTCATCAAAGATTCTGTTCTTGTTGTCTCACTTAAAAGCCAGAAGTGGAACCACTTCATGACTGGCTCTGAAGACCGCTTTTCTGTACTTCCGAGTGGATGAGAAAGAAAACTTCAGAATTCAGTCCTGCACGAGCTGGGCCAGCTTCCATGATTATTAGCAGATGTGCCGTGAATCACCACTTAGAGAAGGTACCACACAGCAAATTCGCGGGTGACCACCAGAGGGGGCATAACACACCAGCATAAGGTCAGAAGCGCATTGCTGGGACAGAAATGGATGACATACCATTCAAGAGAACGTTCCCTACCACCAAGACCTTGCCACTTCTGAAGTGAGGAGGCAACTCTGTCAATCATGGCCTCTGCCTCAAAAATTCCCCCTTACAAGCCGGCAATGAGCCAACAAAGACTTCCCAGACTCAAACTTGGCTGAACACACTACCCTGCACACTCTCTGTGCTGCTGATGATAGAGTGCAGGGGCTCCTCCTTCTGGTCCTCAGCAGCCTGTGTGCTGTATGGCCGTCCAGTGTGGAAGCTTGAAGCCAGGTTTGGCCTGGGGCTCCTAAACTGGACTGTGCTCCTCCATGGACACAGAGCTGGTTTTCCTGAAAAGACAAACGTGCAGAAAGACGAGAATTAGTAAGACATCAGAAACAGAATATTCCGGGCCGGCCCGGTGGCACACTGCTACAGTGCGCCGCTTGGGAATGTGGCGGCGCTCCCGCCGAGGGTTCGGATCCCACATACAGACCGGTTCCTGCTCACTGGCTGAGCGAGGTGCGGGCGCAACACCGAGGGTTGCGATCCCGTTGCCGGTCCCGGTCCAGTACAGGTGCGACACTGAGGGTTGCGATCCGTTGCCGGTCACACACACAAAAAAAGACAAAAAGGAAAAAAAAAAAAAAAAAGAAACAGAATATTCCACATGGTTCACATCTAGCCTGTCTAGCAGAGCTAATGTGAATTTCTCTAAGTCAGGCTGTTGCTCAAAAGAAAAATCACAAGGGCTGAACACCGTACAGCTGCTGCTGTTTTGGGCGATAATTTTCATGACAGGCCCACACACATGTCAAGTGAAGATGATGGGGCAGATCAGAGCCTCAAGACACAGCTGCGGGAGGTGGCAGGTGCCTTCTGACACCACTGCCCACATATGCTCCCCAGGGTAGGCCTTGTATGAACCACCAAACCCAAGCATGCCTTGGTCCTCATAGCCCCTACCAGAGCCCGAAATAAACTGATGGGCCAGCCTTCTTAACTATGTAATTCAGGGAAAAAAGGAGAAAAAAAAATATCCTCCCAAGAGAGATCCAAAATTTTAAATGTTAATATTCTGAAACAATCTTGTCATCTTCTAAAAGTTGATCCTTGGCTTTTCTACCCAAAACTATCAGAGTTTTTAAAAATTAGTCTATTCCAAAAACTGAAAAACAGCTAGCGATCTGTTCCACCCTGTAGCCAGGAAGCAGACTTAACACTTGTTTTCTGCAGCTTCCTGCTTAGCCCAGGGGGCCTGGAAACCCCCTGGTGCGTCACAGCCAGGAAAGAACAGTGATGCATCCACTGAACACTGATGTGTCCCCACTCTGGTGCTGTTCAGACTCATCCCTAGCCTTTGACACTACAGAAACCATGCACACACCTGCACCTGAACCAGCAGCATGGAACCCATCCTGAGTCATCACTCCAGACTCCGGGGCCACCATGCCAGGTTGGTCAGCCAAGACATTCCGTGTGAAGGCCTAGCCCTAAATGAGCTGTATCTGCCTGTTAGATGCTGCCCCTCTTTGCGAATTTTCAATAATAGAAAGGAATGATGTAGAATGCCCAGAAATAAGTTGAAGATTTTAAAAATTAACATACCCACTTGCATATTGCAAACAAGGTATAAAACCTTGCCTATTCTTTAGGCTTATTCTAGGTTTAAAAATAATACAACCCGAGCTTTTACCTCTGTGCAGAATACCTTAAAAACATCTATCCCAATTCAGAAAATATTCCATTTCCAAAGAGTGTAAATATTTAGTTTTCTGGACCTACCTAATTGTATTGCTTTACAAAACCCCAAAAAACCCTGGGGTATTTCTTTATTTCTTTATTTATTTTATTTATTTTTTTAAATTTTTATTTTGTCAATATACAATGTAGTTGACTATTATGTCCCATCATCGAAACCTCCCTCCCTCCTCCCTCTCCCCCCTCCCACCCAAGCGTGTCCCCTCCATTTGCTTGTTGTAAGAACTTCAAAAAAAAATTGTGGTTGTTATATCTTCCTCTCCCC